ATTATTATTATTATTATTATTATTATTTTTATTATTATTAATTCGTGATGCACAACCTGAAATGGCCAAGTGCACAGTGAAAGAAGATTCATTCTTGAAAACAGAAAATTATAAACTTTTGTTGTGACTACTAGGTCAATAGAAATCCCATGGCACTTTTTTTAGAAAGTGTAGGGGTATTACACCTGGTTTCCTGGCCTACCTTAAAGCTCCTCCATACTTCAATTGGTGGAGTGGTTTCTCACTTCTCTGCTTGATCCATTATGTAGTGGAGCAACTGCATATCACCCTGGGACTACACAACAGTGGTGGTTAATGTAAGCCCACTTACTGTATATGTACATGTACTTATATGCACATCAGAGTGTGTTGGTATTAAAAGAGCCATATTAAAATGAAGCAAATTACTATTATATTATGTGTTAAACATGTTGTGGTCAAACCAATGGTTTTGATGGATCCCTTGAAATGACTAATGTTTATGGACCCTCCTCTGAACTTGAGCAAACAAGAAGTGTTTATTGTAGCAGGAGTATTGTAGTTAGAAGTAAATTTGGGGCGCTGTGTATTTTTCCAGGAGCTCTTGGAAAGAATTTTAAGTTTACTTTTCCTGGAAAATCTGAAGTTTCACCACCTCTTGAGATCACATTAACATCACATAACAGTAGAAATTAAAATATGAATGACTCATTATCTGAAAGACAAGGGGTTCTTACAAAGTTGGGTGTCCTGTTAAAAAAAATGTTCCATGAAAGCTATAAACCATGAAGCAATAAAAATGTGATACATCTGAACATGATACCATTCAGAACTTCTTCCATCACATTGCCTTCCTAAACACAGCTTCATGCAAATGTGTACTACATTATGTAGTTCTTAACACCTCTAGAATGTGCTGTCCTTGTCAAGGGGAAAGCTATCCATAGTTCTGTTTGTGTAAGTATAAAATTGCATTTTTGCATGCTGCAGTTTTCACAATGCAGCTAATTCAACAGGTCATCTAAGTATAAAATAGGAATTTTGCTAGTTACAATGGTTCTTGTTGGATTTGTTATAAAAAAAAGGTAGATTATGGTTTATGTAATATCTGAAATGCAGCTGGATTTTGATTTTTAAAGTTGTGTAAGAATTGCTGGTTGTCAGACACTTTGGTTATTTTTAGAAAGAAATGTGTCTTCTGCATGGGATAGTAGGCTCCTGTTAATGTGTAGTACATGATGTTCATTTCTTCAAATTATGTCCATAACCTGAAGACACCTGGAAGACTGGCATGAATGCTTGACATGTCTATTGCAGATTTTCAGACAACCCATAATTCACCACACGCAGCCATGCTACTCAGAATCAATGACAACATACACTTAAGACAGCAAGACATGAACATTACTGTCACTGTATAAAGTTGTGGGTGTTGGGTCCAGACAATGTGGAAAAATCTTAACCAGCTCTGTTTTTGACTGCCTCTTACAGATGGATTTTAATTCAGAATTTTGAAATGAGTGGAGATCCATCATATAAAATACTCAATGTATGATGAAAGGGCATGATGGGACATGCCAGTCTTCTTGCAGAATAAAATTACTTTATTACAATTATGGATTCATAATGAACTAATTAAACTTGCACGTATAAAATTGGAAAAATAAATATTAGTTTCATGTGGAGCACACAGTCTAAATATATAATTTTATTATAATTTTTCATTGAGCAATAAACATATAGAATAAATTATATCAACATACAGCATTAAAGGTTGCTAATAATATTTTGTTGTTTTTTTAACAGTGTATTGTCAGTTCATAACACAAGCAAAAAAACTATTTATTTTATTTATTTATTATTTATTTTAGAAAAATAAAGTATATGAAGACAAAAAAATCACAAAAACTAAACCACCCATTTCTCTTCCTTTATATACTAGTAATAGTGAAACAGAGTATTTTCTAAACTTCAATCACCGAATACCTGTCTCAAACAGCATCCCTGTAAATAGTATGAAATAATAGAATAATAATAATATAAAAAAATTAACTTTAAACCACCTAGAACTTTGGCAGTCTGGTGCACAATGTTCAAATAATATCTTAATAGAAATCCTTTGTATATGTTAGCATTTTATAAGATAATGCTTTGCTTATCATTTAAAACAAAAACTTTTACGTTAAAACTAATAAGAGCACTGATAATCAGAAAGTACAGTATGCATGTATGTTTTTGTGTTCTGTATGTTTTTGTGTTCTGTATTCTTTTAGTTGTAGTTCAAATAAACATTTTTTGAAGACTTTATTCTAATTTACTGAAGGCTTGGACAGTTATAATGGTGACCAACCTCATCTAGGCTCTTCTTTGAAATCAGTCCCTCACTTAACTTGGCATTCCTCTTCTGTCAGCCTTGGAATGC